TAATGGTGAAAGACTGAATGCCCTCCCCCTAATGTCAAGAAAAGGCAACGGACACTCTCACCACTTCTATTCAACACTGTGATGACAGTCCTAACCAATGCGGTAAGAAAAAATAAAAGGCAAACAGATTGGAAAGGAAGTAAAACTGGTTTTATTCAGATGACTTGACTACCTATGTAGAAAACCCCAAGGTATCTACCAAAAAAGTGTCCCTAGGACTCAAAAGTGAATTTAACAAGGTCGCAAGATACAAAAACAATATACAAAAATCAACTGTATATACTAGCAATAAAAAATTGGGAGTAAAATTACAAAGAAATGCAACTTACAATAGCATCAAAAGGTATAAAATACTTAGAAATAAATTTAACCAAATATGTCCAAGACCTGTACACAGTAACTGAGACAGTCTGGTGCTGGTATAAAGTTACATATATAGATTAGTGAAACAGCACAGAGCTGGGATATGACATACACATATATTGTCAACCAATTTTTTAGAATGGTCCCAAAGTAATTCAATGGGGGAAAAGTTAAGTCTCTTCAACAAATAGTTCTAGAAGAGCTATGTATATGCAAAAATCAAAAACAAAAACACCTGTGGTATAATAAAAAATATATGTTTGGTATTTGCCCCAGGTTCCTGCCACAGAGCTCCTAATCTCCTTGGAATTTCTGAGCAATAGAGTATCTTTTGTTATTCATAACAAGTCCCTCTCAACCATACCAGAGTTTATGTTAATGAGGTGCCTTTGGAGGGCCCCTAGAGAGCTTCAGGATGGGGACTGGTCACCAGAAACATCAAGCCTGGATCAAAGGATTGGGAAGTTTCACCCCAAACACTCCCACCTCTGGGGAGGAGAAAGAGGCCAGAAATTGAGTTCAATTACCAATGGCCAATGATTTAATCGATCACACCTATTTAATGAAGCCGCCACAAAAACCCTCTGAAAGACAGGGTCTGGGGAGCTTCCAAGCTGGTGAACACTTTGATGTGCTGAGAAGGTGGCACACCTGGAGAGGACATGGAAGCTCTACAATCCCCCCACCCCAACCTTGCCCCATGCATTTCTCCCATTTGGCTGTTCCTCTGTTTTATCCTTTATGATAAACTAGTAATAGTAAATAAATCACTTTGCTGAGTTCTGTGAGTTGGTCTAGCAAATCCCAATCTTGACACCAATGGTAGTACCTTTTTTCTAACACTTCTGACACCAAACGTGTGTGGGATTTCTACACCAATTTGCCAACACCAAGTGGGTGTCCAACAATTCAGTTAAATTCTGACACTAACTCCCAAAGTTAACACAGACCCCACAGGTTAAAGGCTCAGTCCTGCAAGACTGCCCTCACTTCGGATGCCATTCAGAAGTCCCAGGAGCAACCCACACTTCTTACAGACCAGCTATAAATTTGGAACACTTCAGAAACCCCTCCTCAAGTTCATTAACTCACTAGAACAACTCACAGAAATCAGGAGATCATTTCACTTACATTTACCGTTTTATTATAAAGGATACAACTCAGGAACAGACAAATGGAAGAGTATGACTTTAAATCATGATGGCTTTTTCAGGGATGACTGGGATGCATCAAGCAACTTTGAGTTGTCTCGGACCAGCCTCCTATTCACTGATAGTGTCTCTGGCTGCTGACTTTGGCTCATTTTCCCTATATCCTTTTTCTAAAATGCTGGGAAAAGAGATAATTAAACACTATTGAAAAGACTACTACACTGCATCAGGTAATTTCTGACTCCCCATTTAAATCTATTATTCAGAATTGATAATTAAACAATGTTTCCCACACGTATGCGTTTTCAGATGCCATGACACACCCTGCGCATAACTCCAGGCTGGGAATCACTGCTGTGTACTCTTTCTCATAGGTTAGAGCACCACTTCAGGGTTCATGGCTTGCCTATACTTCTCTTAGAATACTAAGAAATATCACTTTGATAGTCACAGCTTCTTGTGAAGCACTGGCAATACAAATTATATAGGAGAATGGACTGAATGTATGCTGCCTCTCCTGAATATTCTAGAAATTATTTATTTACTCATTTTTAAAGTTTATCATTTCACACACACACACACAAAGGAAAGCTGAAATAATTCTGCTATTTCAAAATGTTTAGGCAGCCAAAATGTAACGTATTTCCTATAATGAAATCATGAAAAAGTCCTTTTGGTTAGGCTACTACATCGGACGTGAACATGTAATCACAATGATCTGTTTAGTTTTTGATCTTTTACTACTGTAATATTGTATTAGCCTGTTTCTGTTGCTTATAACAAAATACTTGGAATTGGGTATGGTATAAGAAAACAAAATTTATTTGCTTACAGTTTCAGAGGCTGGGAAGTCCAAAGTCCAGGGAACACATTTGGTAAAGGCCTTGGTGGTGGCGACAGTGACCCAGGGCTCTCACATGACAGAAACCGGCAGAGTAGAGAGAGACTAACCTTTTATGTGCTCTTCTTTAAAAGCCCTCAGAACCACACCCCTGACCACCATTATTAATCCATTCATTATGGCATGTTCCTACAATCCAATCCCCTCTTCAAAGCCCCCCCACCACCTTTCATCTACAATAATAGGATTTCCCACCCTCTTAACACTGTGACAGTGGGGACCAAGCCTCTACCACATTAAACTTTTGGGGAGGCACGATTCAGTCCATAATAAATACTAAGTAGTAAAATACACATTGTTTTTACTATAACATTTTTGAAATAATATTTTTTGAGAAATTACTAAGACCAAGGATTTTTTCCTTTGAAATTCCTAAAATAGATGATAAACAATTCTTGGTAATTGATCACTGTACGTAGAACTCCAAATTGAGTGTTTCACTGAACTAAATCCAGTGTGGGTTTTTTGAAAAAGTAAAGGTAGTTTTGCTTCTGCTTTTCAATTCTAGTAAATTGTGTTATGAGTAAAGACTTCTCACTAAAATTGTCAGGATGCATTACTGAATACTGTATGTCATGATGCGGATAGATACATGGGAGCCTCTGACTAATGAAATAATTAAGAGCTATCATTTATTGAATATTGCACTGTGCTTTATATACACTGTCACACTGAAGCCTTAAACAACCTACTAGGCAGATAGTATTACTCGCATTTGACAAATGTAGAAGCAGAAGCCTGTACTGCATAACACCATAACCCAGGCAGTTGAGGATAATAATTCTACAGTCTGATTACTCAACTGAAGTTAAAAATAATTCTTTCAGATGTGCTACGTTACATTTTAAAAAGCAATAAAACCTTATCAAAAGCCAAAATATAACTCATTTACAATGACTGTTCCTAAATACCATAAAATTCTGCAATATTTTAAGGTTGACACCACAGAGATTGAAGCTTAAAAAAACTGAGGACTGTTAAGAGTGAAACTGAAAAATACTGTCCACAATTAAGACACTTCTAAAAACATTCTGTCTACAAACATTCCCTCACGTTCTCAGAATTATTCTGGGTATACTCTAAATGCTCAATAAACACCTGTTCAATGAATACAACACTGTAGGTTGTCCCCTCAAATGTTTGATTACTGAAAAAAAATATTTTTAAGCTTCTATCAACTTTTACTGTATTTGCTTATTAGTAAAATACAATAACACTGAATGCTATCAGCATTTTTTATCTTGATCATCATATTTTTTACTAGTTGAAACATTCATTCAATACCATGGTTTAGAAAATACTCAGAAATAAGAGAATTGCAAGATGACTTAATCTTCAGCTTTGGGTAATGCAGTACCCACAGAAGAAATATGTGAATTAGTTACACGTCTCTCGCTGCTGTAGGTATCAATTTAAAAATACAATACATCTGGCCGAGCCCGTGGCGCACTCAGGAGAGTGCTGCGCTGGGAGTGCAGCAGCGCTCCCGCCGCGGGTTCAGATCCTATATAGGGATGGCCAGTGCGCTCACAGCGCTCACTGGCTGAGCGCGGTGCGGCCGGTCACAAAAAGGACAAATAAATAAATAAATAAAAATACAATACATCGACACGCACTGAAGCGTGCTACTACCAACAGCAGTCTTCAAAGCGCAGGTCTCTATACCGGTTCAGATCCTATATAGGGATGGCCAGTGCGCTCACAGCGCTCACTGGCTGAGCGCGGTGCGGCCGGTCACAAAAAGGACAAATAAATAAATAAATAAAAATACAATACATCGACACACACTGAAGCGTGCTACTACCAACAGCAGTCTTCAAAGCGCAGGTCTCTATACCTCGCACTGTGGCAGCTACTGCTAGTAAATTAGGGGCTTTTTGAGCAGCTAGTAAGTACAGGCCTGGTGCTGCCGTGGCAGAGCCAAGTCTTCCCTCCCAGCCGAGGTTCACCAACGCCCTTTTCCATTTTCCAGCGCCACTCGGGGTAAGACGGCCGCCCTCGCCGCGTGGCCCCATGGGGTGGCCCTCTGTGAGTGTCTGAGGAGCAGACGGCAAAGTGGCCGCCATCGCGCTGGAGACCTGGCACCTCGCTCTTCCTTGGTTAGCACGGATCGACAGGCAGGCCGCGGCTGCCACGGGACGACATGGCGCGGGGTGACCCTCAGCGCACCGGGCGGAAGCAACGGCGTCTCTTGGAGCTGAGGCGGCCGCGAGTCGCTTGAAGCGACCTCTGAGCACACAACAGGGTTTGGAGACGCTCCGACGGTACCGGGAGGACGGCCACAGACCAGGAAATGAAGGGGTGGGAAAGCGCCCAGACTGTGTCCGGGCAAGGCGCTGGGAGGCCGCCGAGGGCACGACCTCTGGGGAGCAAGAGGCGGTTAGAAACACATGCACGCACGTTTTATGTGCTCCACATGCTGCAAAAGTGTCTTTCTGTGCTAACAGACTGAACGCATTTTTGTGTGTGAAAAGGAACTGTTGATAACAGAGTTCAAACCACAGAACATTTTAATGGAAAATGGGCTATTAACTGAAGAAAAATTACACTACAGTTTAGTTTCGTAATAAAATGTATTTACATACCAGCACAGAATATCCCTGGGACTTCACTCCTGATTATTATGGTCCGCACTTTTTTATCAGATTTTAAAGCATCCACAGCTTTTGACAACTAAGCAGATAGGGAGGAAAAGGGGAAAGAATCACTTTCACATTGATATCAACATTGTACCTTAATATTAGAAGCAAATGGTTTAATCTCTATACTCACCATTTTTATAAGATTTAGACTGAGTGAATTTTTGCCATGAGCTCTATTTATTCCAAGCACCACAATTCCTAGTTAAGGAAGGAAAAAAAAAGAAGCACAAGCACTTGAGTTAGTGAGGTATTCAGTGCACAGACTCCACAACACACAGGTATCTAGCTAACGCGGGACTTCAAATCTACTACCTCACTGAGTTCACTGTGAGAGCTTTATCCTTGTTTTCATGTTTAGTTTCTTTTTCAAGATAAGCATATTTTTAAAGACATAGTACATATAAAATTTATAAAATCCAGCTAGTGCTTAATATTCATCAGTTTTCTCCAGCCTTTTTAAGAAAGAATTTCACGACATCACATCCCCTTCAATTTACCTCTTTTTAAGCACCACCAAGGTACAGGATGAGTGCCCCTTATCCAAAATGTTTGGGATCAAAAATGTTTCAGATTTTGGGGGAATTTTGGAACATCTGCATTGTACCAGTTGAGCATTCCCAGTCCAAAAATCCAAAACCTAAAATGTCCCAATGAACATTTCCTTTGGGTGTTATATAGGCGCTCAAAAAGTTTCAGACTTTAGAGCATTTCAAATTTCAGATGTTTGGATTTGGGATGCTCAAACTGTTATTTGCAATGTAATACCCTGTACTGACCAGCCACTGCACCCCACCCCCCCAAAAAAAGATACCCCATAAAAATACTGTCCCTATTTAACTCCTAGTCAAAATACCAATACTTATTTGATGACAATAGTGGATCCCAACAGGGTAAAACACTTCTTAGGACACATTTGGAAAATCTGAGGGAACCCATCTTGGACTGTCACCAGGACTAGATTCAGGACTTACAGGGACTGAAGCATAAAGGATTTAGGGAGCCCTTTTTAAGTAAAAGAATACAAAACCACACTTACAAAATTATGGGCAAACATGAATATTAAAACCTTTAGAATTTTTAACACTTGAAAAATATCGCAAACATTTTCTTTCCAATTATGTGTGACTCGCACAAGGACAGTTCCTTCCCCACATATGTGAATTTTTATATTACCAATAATTCTAAAAAATATACTAAATTAATCTAATATTAAGATCAACTCAAATAAATATTTTAACTACTACTGTACTGTGAAACAACTATGTCAACAAATTATTCTTACATGACATGCATTAACTTATGAGTTAGATCACTGGGACTTGGCTTCTTCAGGCCATTTAGATGTATCTGTGGCAATTCTGTGTGCCACTTTGTATGGAACTACCACACTTTGATAAACAAGATGCATGAGGTATGCTAGCAAAGGATCCAATACATTGGATACACAAAACTGGAAAACTGACACAGAGACACACCTGCTCTCTGCACTAGAGGCTCACTGCCCTAAAGTCAGATGAATCCTGATAAATTCTATCCCACATGCTACTGTGATGGGTGACCATCCTGGCTCCACTCAGATATAAGAGCCATTTTATGTATTGGCAGCATAACTCGTTTGACTTGGCTTCTGTAAACGGTTTTTTTAAATGAAATAGACAACCTTGAGCATTTTTCTGATTGTTAAACCTGCCCCCTTCTGCTCGAGGAATTGTTTTAGAAATTTTATGCTTGACAGTCTCAATCATGAACTCTGGCTTCTGTAACCTAGCTTGCTTGTTGCACCAGTGTGCTAATGAAAAATAACAGCAGCTTTGCATCACCCTAAGGGCCAGATGCAAATTTGGCTCCAGAACTGGCCAATGAGCTATGTCACATAGCCAACAAATCCGAATTAACAAACTTGCATCCGTCATTTGCATAAGAGGACCTGAATGACCAATGAGCTATGTCACATAGCCAACCAATCCGAATTAACAAACTTGCATCACTCATTTACATAAGAGGGCCTGAGTGAGAACTTGGTTGGTTTGGTGCAGGAAGTTTTGGGTATATAAGGCTCCTCCTTTTCTTCATTCCGGGAGACACTAGCCTAATGTTGGTGCTCTCCTTGCTTGCAAGCAATAAAGAGCTGTAACACCAGAAAGAGCTGTAACACCAGAAAGAGCTATCAACTATTAAAAGAGCTACAAAACCAACGCTGGTCCTGGATTCCTCTGTGCGAGCGCCCCACTACACTACCCATCAAAAAAGTGGAAAGGGGATATGCAAAGTCTATAAATATATTCACTGCATTTTCAAGTATATCACCAATAGGAGAGAATGTCCATTTGATTTGGCATCAATGAGAACTGAGCCTTACAATTTACAATGAGAACAGAACTTTACAATGTCACCACCCTCCCTCATGTTCCACTAGAAAATTATTTTGACCTGAAGTTCTTAAGTAAGGAGTAGCTCATTTGTGAGAATATCATTCTGCTTACTGACAGTCTAAAATTTACCTTAGCATGCCATCCCTTCTTGGATTGAGGGTATTTTCCCATTCTCTTATCATATACAAGTCTGCTCTGTCATTACTAATCTGTTATTAGTTTTTATTCTAGTATCCACTTATACCAAGTGTGTCTTTTTTGTTTTCTTCTACTTCTTAGATAGAACGGCTTCTGGTCTATTTCTCTGAAATCCTAATATTTATATTTTAATAATAACAGAATTTTACATATTGAAATAGACTACTTAATTATAAATTACCTTCCTTTTGTTTCTCATTATTATATCTAGACAGTTTTTTAAAACTTGTATGTGTGAGCAGCTTATGTTATCTATACATTTCATTTCAGGACAGTAAGGAGGCCTCCTAAAATACATTATTGAGAATCACTGGCCTACCATTCAACACTGAATATTGCAAATCCATAATAATACATGAGAAAATAATGTCACCTTACATCAGGTTCCACCAATTTTCTAAACTAAAGTTGAGTTTACAAATTTAATGAGAACTTACTACTTCATTTATGAATTAACCATTCTTATTGTTTGCCTATCTTGTCACTGAGTTGTCTTTTGCATTTTAATTAATAACTTTTTAGATTATACTGAGTTGTCTTTTGCATTTTAATTAATAACTTTTTAGATTATAGATACTAATTCATTATTTATATTACAAGTCTTTTTCCAACCACTTACTTTTTAATTAAATTCATTTATGATATTTTGTTGTACCAAAGTTTTAACATTTTATGGAGTCTAGTTTTGCCTTTGTAACTTATGGGCTTAGCATCTTTCCTAAAAAGGATTTCCCAGTGAAAATGTTTATCTATACAAAAATCTGTACCACAATGATCACAGCAGCAATATCCAAAACATTAAACAAATGGAAACAAACCAACTGTCCATCAGGTGATAGAAAAAGAAAATGTGGTGTATCCATGCAATGAAATGTTATTCAACAATAAAAAGAAATAAAGTACAGATGCTCCTTGACTTACAGTGGGGTTACATCTCAATAAACCCATCCTAAATGGAAAACACTGAAAATCAAAAATTCATTTAATACACCTAACCTACCTTAGATGTGCTCAGAGTACTTACATTAGCCTACAGGTGGGCAAAATCACCTAACACAAAGCCTCATTTTATAATAAAGTGTTGAACAGCTAATGTAACTTACTGAATACTATACAGAAAGTGTAAAACAGCAGTTGCATGGGTACTCAAAGTACAGTTTCTACTGAATGTATATCGCTTTCGCACCACCATAAAGTCAAAAAGTCTTAAATCCATACTGCTATATACAACACGGATGAACCTTGAAAACATTATGCTGAGTGAAAAAAGCCTGTCACAAAGGAGCACATATTATGTAATTCCATTTATACAAAATGTCAAGAGTGGGCAAACCTAAAGAAACAGAAAGATTAGTGGTTGCCTATGTCTGGCAGGGATGAAGGGATTAAGTAGTGACAACTAAGAAGTGCAAAGGTTTCTTTTTGGGGTAATGAAAATATTCTAAAATTGACTGAGGTGATGGATGCACACCTGTCTGAATGTACTAGAAAAAAAGCCACTGAACTAGACACTTTAAGCGGGCAAATTTTCTGGTTTGCGAATTATATTTCAGTAAAGCTGTTCGAAAAAATCACAGCAAGATTCACTTAGACCTAGAGATATGGGCAAATTATCATACAACCAAGGGGTGAAGTTGGGGGCAGGTGAGAAAGATATGTGGGTGGGTGGGTGTGGTGGAGTGTGGGATGGATGAAAGGGGGCTAAACCCTGATCCTTCAAAGCAAAAAAATCAATAGACAGGTAATACCTAAATTTGAAAACTTCAAAAGTAGAAATACATGTATGTTATTTAAAATGAAGTGATACGCGCCCAAAATAAGAAGCCAAAAGGGTTTTAAATGACTGCTTGTGAAGTATGGGAACTGGGGCAATGGAAGGGCACTGCTGTTTCTCAAAACAAGCTCATTAGTGTTGATTGCAATACTAACTACATTAGCAGTTAGGAAAAAGTAAAAATAAATAAAATAAAGATTTTCCTACCCAAATGACTGGAGACATCTCTAATATTTTCTTCTTCTTCTTCTTCTTTTTTTTTTTGTGGGAGAGGAGGCGGGTTTTGATGGCTGGACAGTACGGTTTAATATTTTCTTCCAACATTGAATACTTCCGTTCTGTCCCCTGCTCCACAGAACTAACTTCATTTTATCTAAAATGCATACACATTTTGGCCAGCACAATTTATTAAATAATTCAATATTCTCCTTCTGATTTCAAATACCAAACAGTTGTATACAAAATACCTACAATGAATCTTCACAGGGTGTAAAGAAAAAAAGAAAATACCTACAAAAATCATCTCTCAGACTCAACAATGTTCTACTGTCAATTTCCTTGTCTATCCCCATTCTAATGTTCTACTGCTTTAATTATTATAACCATACTTTAAGTTTTGTCATCTTTAGGACAAGCATCATTCCTGCCAGTTATTATTTTTCAATATGTCTTAAACACATCTTTTATTACATTTTTTTCTTACACTAATTTATACATTTTTAATTGGTTGCACATATTAACATGTACTATAAAATTATTTTCTAAGAAGCATTATATAATAAATGGATACTGTAAAAAGATATGATTGGTTAAAAGCAGCAAGCATTAACAGCTACATACAAAACGCAGCCTGA